TAAATAAATAAATAAATAAATAAATAAATTTATTTATTTATTTATTTATTTATTTAATCAAGACACTTAAATCCAATGACCCCTGAAAATTAATAATAATTAATTATTAATAAAAATTAATTAATAATAAGATATCGCCGTGGGGAGGGGGGCGATGATAACTTCCTCAATGGCTCAAGGGGGCGTTTCTTTCAAAAAGGTTAAGAACCACTGACTAGACTAGCGCTGTTGATGTCAAGGATAGGCCACTTGAGGGATGGGGTGGGACGCCATGCTTTCTCCCTGCTGTCGCCAAAAACAGACGGGTTGCAGAAGAAGGCCCAGAGCGTTCTCCACCGTGCTGGCGTTCTGAATTCCTAGCCGCTGCCAGGTATACTTGAGGGGGGGGGGCTGAGGAGCTTGTGTTACGACAAAAGGATCTGAAGGGAGACACACGGCCCACAGGAAGGCTACATCGGGTACACCCTGGCCCTACTCTGACTCCAGCTTTGCCCGGCCCCCTCCAGCCACAGCGTTTTCTGTCTTTACCCCTGTCGGAAGCGGAGACGGGGATCTCTTGTGTGCAAAGCAGCTGATCTTCCACTCCCCTGTGATTGTCCCACAAAAAAGACACTGCGTGGAGTAAATGTGGGGCAGGATTCGAAGGAGGCAGAGCAACTGCACCTCTCTCCATATTTTCCACACAAAAAAGTATTATATATATCTGTTTTCATTTTATGTTGTAAGTCGCTAGAGTGGTCGCAATGACCAGATAGGCGGGGTATGTATAAATAAATAAATAAATAAATAAATAAATAAATAAATAAATAAATAAATAAATAAATAAATAAATAAATAAATAAATAAATAAATAAATAAATAAATAAATAAATAAATAAATAAATAAATAAATAAATAAATAAATAAATAAATAAATAAATAAATAAATAAATAAATAAATAAATAAATAAATAAATAAATAAATAAATAAATAAATATTTCACCTTGTTCTGTCCTTTGAGTATTAAACCTATGACTGGATGCTCTTAGAACAGGACAGTGGTGGAACCGACGATCTCAGGAGGTGGCGAGCACTTCAAGAGAACATGGGACCACCCTCTGCCTGATCGGCTTAGATTTGGATTCCCGCCACACTGAGCAGGGGGTTGGGCTGGATAGCCTCAGAGGCCCCTTCCCACTTAGCGATTCCTCCTCTTTCAACATGTTGGCCGGGTGTGGCCTCCCAGCGTTGCCTCCTAGCGCCAATTCAGCCAAGTGACCACTAAGGGATTTGGCTAGAGAGGGCAGGGAAGTGGCCTGTCCCTTTTGGCTTTCTGACCTCTCCTTCTCCTGCCCATCAGACTGATGCTCTTAAAGAGTCTGTCCTGTTTCACCAAGGAAGAGACAGGAGTGTGTTCCTCTCCTGAGGGCTCTCTAGGGCAGTGGTCCCGAACCTTGGGCCTCCATATGCTCTTGGACTTCAACTCCCAGAAATCCTGGCCAGCTGAGGTGGTGGTGAAGGCTTCTGGGAGTTGTAGTGCAAGAACATCTGGAGGCCCAAGGTTGGGGACCTCTGCTCTAGGGCACTTGCTTATCTCGATAGGATCAGAGTTTAGGCTTTCTGTCTGGAATGTAACTTTCCAAATAAAGCCAAGTCGTCTCATTTTAACTGTTCCTCCTTCTTTACGGTGGGTCTTTTGTGGGACTAGACCTCCCAAAGGGCTGTTGCAACACGACTTTGATACAGAAAGAGAAACCCTTGACACCTGATGTGCTATATAACTTTTAGAGAAGAAAAGGTAGACATCGAAAGCTTCCTCCCGGAAGCAGGAGGAGACACTAGGAGACAAGGAGGAAGATGTGTTTTCTTTCATTCTTCCTTTCCTTTCCTATAACTACATGCAACCTGGAGTGACCCTATTTAGCCCGATCAAGCCCGTTTCAATTTGGCTGTCTAGCCAAGCCCTAAGAGCCGGTGTGACGAAGGATCTGCTCCCTCCTTTCTTCATACAGACCAATCCAGCCGTCTGCCTTTTAAAAAACCCCTCCTTGGGGTGGAGTGCTGGCTATAGGACCTGCCAATGGCAGCGTTCCTACAACACCACGGCCATAAATCTAGGCCTTCCTGGGTCAATGCAACTGGTACAGTCTGGGTCAGAAACACCAAGAGCCAGGAGCAAAGGGTCAAAGATAGCCAGGAACAGACATTTGAGGTTAAAAATGTCCTTGGATTCCAACATCCAGAACCCATTCAGCACCGCTCATGGTCAGGAGGCCAGAGCGTCAAGACATTGTAAACCAGGAGTTTTCTCACATGGGCTTATAATTAGGGTTCAACTGAATGTTATGACTTGAACTGTTGTAGACTTAAATGCTTCTTCAAGGTTTTAAGTGCCATGTTTTGTTTTACAGTGGACCCTCTACTTACGGAATTAATCCGTATTGGAACGGTGGCTGCAAGTCGAAAGGTCTGTAGGTCGAATCTCCATTGACCTACAATGCACTGAAAACCGATTAATCCCATAACTGGCAGTTTTTATTCTATTTTTGTTCCATTTTGGTTTTTTTCTGGTCTGTAAGTCGATTCTCCGGCTGCAAGTCGAATCTAGATTTTGCGGCCAGAGAAGTCTGTAACTCGGAAAGTCTGTAAGTCGAGCCGTCTGTAAGTCGAGGGTCCACTGTACTTGGTTCCAATTATTCCCTCGCTTCACTTGTTGTTGCTTTCGGTAGTGTTTTGTGATGACTGTAAAACACCCTGGCCACGAGGTAGCCATCGGAGCAGGTAAAAGCAACAACAGGAGTGGAAATAGGCCAAGAACATCTGTGGCCCCTACTCTTATAATTATATCTCATTTGATCCGGGCTTACAGTGGGCCACTCTTGTCAGCTGGCTTATAGGGAGTCTTTGGCTGCTTCCCCTTCTCTTTTCCAGAAAGACATTGCTAAAAAAGGGAGCTCATCCACCACCATTTCATGCCAGTGAAGCAGAGCCAAAGTCATCAAAAGAGGATACTAGTAGCAGGATTGTTTGTCTTATCTAGAGTTTTGATAACATTCTTCAGTTCTTCTTAGCTGGAAGGAAATGTGATGCTTAGAGATAAGATGAGGCCTTATCAGCAAGAGAAATTGACCAGATAGAGTCTTTATTAAAATTAGCTCATGAACAAACATCCCCACAATCTGGAAAAGAAAGACATTTTTAGGTCCCACCACTCTTCCGAAAGCAACATGTGAGCTTTCTAGTTACACAGGACTCTTCCTCGGACTGTTCAAGAAGAATCAACTGTGGATTTTGGAGCTTTTTCTCATGAACAAATACAGTCATCTTTGCTTTTCTTTGCTTGTCAAACTCCACATGAAGCCTTACAACATGTCAGAAAGTCATAGACAACTTTTTGAGTTCTCCAGATCACACCTTTCAGCAGATGTAGAACAGCTTGGTACCGAATTTAGGAATTTGAGGTATGGTTGTTATTTCGCAGTACTTCTGATCTATCCTGAGAGGTAGCAAAGTGTTGTGGCTCAGAGAACAGAGACGTGGATCAGGTGAAATCTTGGATCTGAATCCCACCCCTGCTATGAGTTCACTAGGAGGCCTTTGGCAAGCAAGCCGCTCAGCCTCACGTTAATCACAAAGGCAGTAATAACACCAACTTATGCTTACAGAACTGCAAGTATTCAATAATGCATGTGAAACACTTTAAAAAACTGAAAGGCCATTATTTCAGCTAGCTTGGAAATTGAATATTCGATGGCTGTGTCCTCCTCTATGAGCCGGCTCGAAATTGGCCCTCTCTGAGCTTCCAACAGGTAGCCAAAGCTCTGTTATCTTGTCCAGCCTTTAAAATTATTCTAAACTCGTTTTTAAAGAACGTTCTTGTTTTCGTATTGTGATTTTTACTGTCAATTGCTTCGTAAATCTTGGTGGGGGAGGAAAAAAAATCTATGAATACTTTGAAAGAAAGTAGAAATAAACAAATATTGGAAATAAAACAATTATAATCAGTAATCATCTTACTGACGTGCCTGCATATTTTTGGCACTCCTTTAAGCCATTTGTAGAAAAAAAGGGTTAAGTAGAGTCCGGTGATGTAATCTTTTGCTTTTAAACGCTAAGAAGAAAGGAAGACAAAAAGGAAAGAAAGGAAGAATATCCACTGAAAGATTTCAACCAGGTGGGCAAAATTGTTCTGTTCAATCCAGATGGAGTTGGATTACAACTCCCAGCATTCTTTACCACCGGCCGTGCTGCTGAAGGCTGATGGGAACTGTAGTCCAATACGATTTGGAGGGCCACCTTTTGCCACCTTGCCTTATGACGATGACGGGCACTCCAACTCTGACACCTTCATTCTCTTGATTTTTAACATTCAGTCGAAGAGTCCCGATGCGTATGGGGCCAAAACGGCATCCCGGTGCAGGAGGGGAGGTATTGGGAGGATCCGCGAGGTCGACTCAGTGGCCATGGAAAGCCAGCTGGGAAAACTGAATTGACAGAGAAGGCCCTGCCCTGCCTGGAGCATCACGCTGCAACATTTTGTCGCTGTGCTTACTTGGGTCACTTTCAGTCTGGCCTCTGTGCCCAAAATAGAGGATATTTCTCAAATAAACATCCAGAATTAGGTACCAGCAGCCACCGCAAGCTGCAGGCGTCTGGGTGAGAAGGCCACATGCCTGAAAACACTGCAGTGCTCCGAAACATGCCTTATTTTTTTTTTTACCACAAATTCCAGAATCCCCCAGTTACCTTGTCTTTAAAGTAACATTTCCAAATGCTGGGACCAGCAGAGAAATGATCTGTTCGGTCTAAAAAAGTCACAGCACAACGCTAAGCTAGGATGATACTGGTATAACTGGGAGGAAAGTGGTTCTGCAGAGAGGGATTGCTCCATTCCCAAAGGGGACCTCGGGCAGTTTTGGCTTGCACTGCTCCCCCCCACCCACACACACACCCCAAAATACTTGCTTTTCCCTCCTCCTCCATTTCTAAAACCGTCTTGTTTATTTCTGGGCTAGCCACCCAAAGCCGAAAGGAAAGCAAGACTCACAGGTTCGCTCTCCTTCCTCTTTTCCCACGCACGGCCGGCCACTCCAGTTGGCTTCTGGTCCCCGAGGGTCTTGGGAGGCTCGACCCAGGCTGGAATCACGGGCGCATCCGCGGATGGGTGAGTGGGCGATAAAGGAATGGCTCGTGATCGGAAAAGCGGCCACAGTAGCAGCCTTGCAGGGCAGGCAGAGTGAGCTGCACGGCAGGTTGTCAACCGGAGCTTAACCCCACCCTTTCAGTTCCCCTTTTCGTAGTTTCTGACCAAACTGTCTTTAGTTTCCTTTCAGCCGTGATGCCACCTTTCTGGCTGCAGGGAGGGGGGGCACAGGGCATTGCCTGGTGAAAGCCAGGAGAACAGGGCAGGGAAGCAGCAGAATTGGGGTGCACAGGTCATTGCGGGGAGGGGTGTGTGTGTGTGGATCAGAGCAACCAAAGAATAGACCAGTGGAAGGACATGCAAGCTTGAAGCCAGCGTTGCCGGCTTCTTGAGACCCTTTTTTGGCTGACGTGTGAGAGTTTCACAGAATTCTTCCTCCAGACAGGTCAGCCAGCTGAAGCCTCCTGTGAGGCTGAAAAGCACATTACAGAAAAGGACACTGACAGCACAGAAAGGGGCTAAGGAAACAGGGACAGCAGCTGCTAGGAGAAGTCAGAAGAAGCTGGAGAAGGAGGAGGCCCAGGACAGACCTCCCCATGAGGAGGGAACCAGGCTTGGGAGGGGCACCCTTGGAAACGGGGCTTAGCCCCTGTTTTGCTTTTGGACACTGTTTAGAGTGCGCTGTGAATCAGTGCATAGACAGATAGACAGAATGCATGTCCTTCCCCGTGTCTTGGCTTTTAAGGACAACCGATCTCCAGACCGCTGACGTGATTTGCCTGTTTGAAAGCAGGGTCGTTCCATGAATTATTCTTGAGAAAAACACACGCTTGGATTGAGGCAAATAGAACCGAAATGAGGAGGGTTGAGGAGAAACGGCAGGGTTGGGAAAGTTATTGTTTGGGGCCACAGTTTCCAGAATATCCTGACCCGGGTGGCCAGCGGCCACAGTGGCTGCAGCCGGCTGAGAAGAGTCGGCCAAAGGGGAACTCATCCGCGCTCAGGGTCCAAGGCAGGCCTTCCCAGTGCGAGCCTCAAATTCTTCGGTAATCTGCAAAATAAAAGTTCCAAGAATTGCACTCAGAGGCTTCCCCTTTCTGAGCGACATGCTGTGTGAAAGGTGATGATACTGCAACATGTGTTTTGTTTGAGAAAAACAGAAAGATGGGATGGAGAGAGAGAAAAATGTTGGGCTTTTTTATATATTTGAAGGGGGTTTTGCTTTTTGTCTTGGTCTGCTTGGTTCTTTCCTTTCTCTTCCTTCAAATTACATTTATTTGAACACACAGCCTTAAAGCCATAGGAAGCAACATGTACACTGATGTTTGCTTTGACAAAAGCCAGCCAGCAAGCTATATAATGGTTGGTAAACAAACATCTTGATTCAGAAGATATTTATATAATTGGCAATCTGTACTGGTAATAAACAAAGGGAGTCAAATGTGAGACAGTAAAAGTCATAAATATACAAAGAGAGGTAAAACAAGGATGTATACTCTTGCCACTGCCCTTCAGTTTGGACTCTGAGAACATATTTAGAAAGGCACTTGCTGACCGGAATGATGCCATCATTGTCAATGGAAATGTTATCAAGACCATCTGATATGTAGGTTACACAGTAGTACTACCTGACAGAAATGGCCTGCAAGGTTACTCAGTAAAGTAATGAAGTGCATTGTCAATGGAAATGTTATCAAGACCATGTGATATGTAGATTACACAGTAGTACTACCTGACTCAGTAAAGTAATGAAGTGGTAGGCAATGAATGCTGACTAAAAATGAGTGTTAAAGAAAAAAACTCATACTGTAGTAATTACGGAAAAGGAAGCAACCCAGACATCTGGTCTGGAGGCCCAAGGTTGGGGACCACTGAAGTAGGCAATGAACGTAGACTAAAAATGAGTGTTAAAGAAAAATTCATACTGTAGTAATTACTGAAAAGGAAGCAACCCAGAAAAATAGTTAAAGATCCAAAAGCAAAGTGTGGGGTGTATGCTGACAAATTTAAGTATCTTAAAATTGGGTGGAATGCACAATGAGACCATAGCCAGGCCCAAGGTTGGGGACCACTGAAGTAGGCAATGAACGTAGACTAAAAATGAGTGTTAAAGAAAAATTCATACTGTAGTAATTACTGAAAAGGAAGCAACCCAGAAAAATAGTTAAAGATCCAAAAGCAAAGTGTGGGGTGTATGCTGACAAATTTAAGTATCTTAAAATTGGGTGGAATGCACAATGAGACCATAGCCAGGCAATGGAAATCTAAATAGAGATGATCTGGAGCAGCTTCCTTAAGAAGAATATGCAACAACAACTTAAAATTGTCTTTGCAAAAATGCATGCACAATGCCGTGTGTCCTCGGTTCTGCTAAACATAGAATTTAACACGATTGATTACCGTATATAAAAAAGATTTGAAATGTAGGGGTTTTTTTCTGTTGGATACTAAGCATTTTTTTGGATTGAGAATGTGACCATACGGAGACAAATGAATAAAGATCAAGAAACGATGACATGCAGTAAGGTAAAATTAAGAAAAGTATATATGGTTACAGCTGATCTTTCACGGCAAAGTAAAAGGGGAGAAAAAATGAAGGAAGCAGAAGGATGTATTACTGTAAACTAAGATGCTGGATTGGTTTGAGCGACCATGTCTACTCTAGACCATGTCTACTTAAACTAAGATGCTGGATTGGTTTGAGTAGGACTTATACAACATGGTACAAAATCATTTTTAGAGGTGCTGTATCCAAAGTTAATACTGTACATAACCATGATGATGCTCAACCTCAGATAAAGAGGAAAAAAGAATAAATGAAGTCTTGCTCCAGCTACTATTAATGGTGCAGTGGATTCATGACTTGCAGAGTCAAACACCTGGCTAGCAGGAACAATAGGATCCACCCACCCCCTCTCCCTGTTTCTTTTAAGCTTAAGTGCAATCCTCACCCATACCTGAGAGAGAAATGGATTTTCACAAGAACTATTGTTGCAAGCTAGTATCTATGCTGTAAAGCAAGATATTTGGGTGCAATTTGCTCTTGGGTGGCAGTTAAGAGCCATTACTTTTACAAAAGACCCGCTCTTCCTTGGTTGAGCTGGACTAATCCAGCTGTCCGCATTTTTTTAACGTTGGCTAAGGGGGACTGTGATGCCCGGCAGGCGCATTTCCAAATATCCCCCTATCCCATGGGTTGCCAATCTTAAGAATAATGTGAAAGGGGTCTATTGGGAGATGAGGACGGTTGCATTCGGAAAACCATCCTCATTTAACTCGATCAACAATACATTGCTCTGTCCAAACAGAAATGAAGTCACCCGACGTTTTCTCCCTCATTCCGGTATTTAAAAAATAAAGCATCTGACGCCTTCAGCGCCTACAATTCCGCCCGCTTCCTCGCCTTTCCAGCAGGGGGCAGACACGAACCACATCCACGGAACGGGACGGCGTCCACGAACTCGTCCTTCTAGGCGACCGCCTTCCCTTTCTCTTCTGCTCTTTGATTATTCAACTTCCGTTTTCCGGGAAAAGGTCTTTTTGGCGTCGCCGAAGCGGCAAGATGGTGAGTTTTGGGGATCCGGTGCCATCCGTTGCGGGGTTGGGCGGTGGGAGCCCGGGTTGGCCGTCGGCCGGAGCAGCGGGGCCTTGGCGACGCGGTTGTGGGCCTTTGGGGAGGCGGAAGAAGGGAGCCTGGCAGGGCCGGAGCCGATACGAACGAAAGCGGGTCGGGCAGGCGCCTTTCCCTCTTGGACGCTCCCAGTGAGCGGGGCTCGGGCTGAGGCCTAGTTCTCTCTGCAGACCCCAGGGTGGCAGATAATAAAAGCGCGGTGTGGACTAGAAGTGAAAGGGAGCCAGTCATGCAAAGGAGGGGCAGGATCTGTCCTCCATCCTCCCAGAGGGCAGGACACGCAGCCATGGGCACAAGTTAACAGGAAGCCAGATTTCGGTAGAATATTAGGAGTAACTCCCTAACTGTTAGAGCAGTGGGATGATGGAGCCAACGACCTCGGGAGGGCAGTGAGCACCCCAATGCTGGAGGTATTCAGCATAAAAGCTGGACCACCACCTGTCTGATCTGCTTCGCTTCGGATCCCTGCTTGGAGCAGCCCCTTCCAATTCCATGATTCTCTTTCAGAAGCCAGATGAAAACTTGCATCCTTATCTGTCCCCAAACAAATCATGCATACATACTTTATTGTATGTATGTATGTATGATTTACTGTATGTATGATACATATTGTATGTATCAACCCATGCAAAATTGAATTGAAAACAAATCAAATATTTGCACATGAAAGTTCTGAAGGCTTGTGATCCGTCGCTAGGTTTTGCTTCTCCTCCCTGCCCTTCTCCTCCCTGTCTCCCTGCCTCCTGTTTTGTGGTTTTGTTTTATTATTTGGAAGAGCATCCCGCCACTTGAGCCTACACTTTTGAATCTTAAGTTAGTATTTTTTCTGTGACCCTTCTTTTCATTTTCTCTTCACAGTTCCACTCAAAAATAAAAATTAAGTACTACTGTTTACTAGTAAGGTGCCTTAAAGTATTAAGGTCGGCTGAATTGCATGAATACAAGAGTTTTCTCCCTCATGTCATGTTTTAATGGGCTTGATAGGATAGCTTATCTGAAAAATATACACGTACACACATGCCAAAGAAGGGAATGGTAAACCACTTTTGAGTATACCTAGGGAATTCTGGGAAGGGCTGCCATAAGTTGGAATCAATTGAGTAGCATGGCTTTACTAGGAGAATGGGTGTACAGTACAGTACTTGGGCTGATGGCTAAATGGAAAATCTGCATAGCCTAGGTTTTCTTGTCATTGCCATGCAAACTGCTGAAATGTTGAAAACTGGCTTTAAAGATAGATGACTGTATCTAATATAAAATGAAGACGCATTTACTAGGAGAATGGGTGTACAGTACAGTACTTGGGCTGATGGCTAAATGGAAAATCTGCATAGCCTAGGTTTTCTTGTCGTTGCCATGCAAACTGCTGAAAACTGGCTTTAAAGACACATGACTGAATCTAAGACAAAATGAAGACTTGTCTAATTGGAACTGCCTGCCTGGGTCTGGGGTCTATCGTAACCTGATGCTTGAGAGATCTTTTCAGCTATGATGCCCTAGGATTGAACCTGGGCGTCCCGCCCATCTGGTCTATATGACCATTCTGAGCGGCTTCCAATATAATCTTGTGAAAGATGAAAAAATGCTATTTGGCATAAGCCCCAAAACACTTTGAACGCTTGAAGACATAAAAAGTGTTGTTAATGATGTTAGTGTTACTGTGGGTCTCGGAAGTTTGATTGTCTTTCTCCATGCAATCCAATCCTCCTTTTTCTAATTGGAACTGTCTGCCTGGGTTTGGGGTCTATCCTAACCTGATGCTTGAAAGATCTTTTCGGCTATGATGCCCCAGGATTGAACCTGGACATTCTGCATGCTTTGTTAAAGAGCTTTGGGTGACTTTTCTCAAGCAGCCTTAGCCCTGTGAAAATCCAGTGTTGCCTTGTCCATCCATGTTTTGATTATCAAGGAACTAGGCACGTTTTTGCCAGGAAAATTCTCTCCGATGAAAAACTGAAACTCACTCTTTCTTGGCAGGTGAACGTCCCCAAAACCCGCAGGACCTACTGCAAGAAGTGTGGCAAGCACCAGCCCCATAAAGTAACCCAGTACAAGAAGGGCAAAGAATCTCTGTATGCGCAAGGTAAGTTGCACAGCTGGGCACCTTCCTCCTCTGAATTCCCAAGAACCTCCCTGCAAGAGGGTATGAAGCCCTGCCAAACTGAGTCAGTGAAAATGTGTCTGATGTCCATTGCCAACAAGCATGGCTGGGGGAGCCAGAGACCATGCAATGTGTAGTGTTCCATACTTGCATGTTTTTCAGCATCTGGGTGGGGGAGCTTGGCACTGAGGCTCTGTAGGTACTGCAGCCCTACAGTACTCATGCCAACAGGGCATGTCGCTCATTAACTAGAAGGACAACTCCTGCCAAACTGAGTCAGTGAAAATGTGTCTGATGTCCATTGCCAACAAGCATGGCTGGGGGAGCCAGAGACCATGCAATGTGTAGTGTTCCATACTTGCATGTTTTTCAGCATCTGGGTGGGGGAGCTTGGAACCGAGGCTCTGTAGGTACTGCAGCCATACAGTACTCATGCCAACAGGGCATGCCGCTCATTAACTAGGACAACAGCAGTAATTATAGAACATTGCAGTTGCACTCTGCAGTTGTAGAATACTGCATTTCCTTTCTTTCTTTTACTTAAAAATACACTTCATGTCCATTGCCAACAAGCATGGCTGGGGGAGCCAGAGACCATGCAATGTATAGTGTTCTATACTTGCATGTTTTTCAGCATCTGGGTGGGGGAGCTTGGCACTGAGGCTCTGTAGGTACTGCAGCCCTACAGTACTCATGCCAACAGGGCATGTCGCTCATTAACTAGAAGGACAACTGCAGTAATTATAGAACATTGCAGTTGCACTCTGCAGTTGTAGAATACTGCATTTCCGTCCTTTCTTTTACTTTAAAATACACTTCTGTGTATTACTGTCCTATAAAATGAAGCATCCCTTCAGGGATGGGTGACTGCATCTTAGCACAAAAACACCACAACCTTTCTTGACCTAAGAAAAAAAGAAACAAAATTTCCCCCTCTAGTGGTCGAAGGCGGAATAGCAGCTTCCCATTAGTTTCTATGGACGGAAAAGAGCAGATACGGATTAAATGGTTCTCAATGCATTCCTATGGGAAATGCAGATTTGACCTGAGAACTTTTTGACTTGAGAACCGCCTTCCAATACGGATTAAGTTCTCAAGTCAAGACCCCACTGTACTGTCTTATAAAATAAAACATCCCTTCAGGGATGGGTGACTACATCTTAGCACAAAAACACCACGATTGTACATATAGCCACCTGCAGTATTCCAGCACAGTGCCACTTCGGTTTTAATAAAAGAGAATTGGGTGTGAGAACTTTTCCAGAGAAGGATAGAAATGACAGAAGAACGAAATGCCTCTTGGACGTGAATACACCTTCTCCAAAATGGAGCCCTCTCGTGGATTTGGATTGTTAACTGCTGCCCATGCTGTCGAGGGTTTGTGGAATCTGTAGTCTAAAGCCAGGAGGTAGAAGCTTGTGGAGAACTAAATGGATAGCCATGGCATTGCATAACCTGGGAGAGACTCCCCCCTCATTAACCACAGGTTATCCATAGAGATAACCATCCAAACACATAGGAGAGATGGGGAAGCCTTGGGTGTGTTATATGTCATGAAGTTGCTTCTGACTTAGAGCAACCCTATGAATTAATGACTTTCAAAAAGTCCCTGTCATTAAAAGCCTCTTCAGGCCTTGCCGATGTTGAGAGCTGTTCACCCACAGCATAGGTTGAGTTTCCAAGCAGACTTTGCTCTTTATATAAAGGGTTTACTTTCTTTCCTTTAGGAAAGCGTCGATATGATCGCAAACAGAGTGGATATGGTGGCCAGACGAAGCCTATCTTTCGCAAGAAGGTAAGCTTGCCTTGGAGCGTTATAGAAACACCGCAGTACCACTCAGCCCTACAGTATTTTGGCCACCAGTTAACTTCCGTATCAGATAGGTAAGAAGCGTCATCGGTTGGAGTCTGTCCTACTCAAGGCCTATGGTGTCCTTTCTTTTCTGTTGTAGGCAAAGACCACAAAAAAGATCGTCCTGAGGCTGGAGTGTGTGGAGCCCAACTGCAGGTCCAAAAGGATGCTGGCCATTAAGAGGTGCAAGCACTTTGAGCTGGGAGGAGACAAGAAGAGAAAGGTACAGTCTGAGTATGCAGGGGCTAGGGCAGTGACAGCAAACCTTGTTGGGCCCAAGTGTCCAAACCGGGGGAGGGGGGGAGGACTGGGGCCGCGGTGGTGGCGGAACCAGAAGTGGCGGCAGAAGGGGAAATCCCAGACACAGAAGTGCCTCGAGACCCCACTCTGGATCTGCCACCAGCGCCAGCTGCTCCGGATCCTGGCCTGTTGCCTGTTGAAGTGCCAGCACAGTGGCGACAGCCGCCTTGTGACATTTGGCTGCTTGGGGGGGGGGGAGTGATCCAGTGACTTACAGCTTGCGTGCCCGCAGAAAGGGCTCTGCATGCCAGCTGTGACACATGTGCCATGGGTTCGCCATCGCTGGGCTAGGGTGTTCTAAATGCTGCACCTGGTGGCTGCTTTACAACACGTGTGTGTTTAGCAACTGATAGAGTCAGACCTTTGGAGCAGTAGATTAATGGCAAATGTAATTGGTACCAAGAGATGACAAGGCAGTGTTGGAAGGATAGAGACCAAGACCAGAATCCCAAACATTTCCATAGCACTGTAGGTTCAAGACAGCAAAAAGTCCTGCCTTTGTGAATTTGTCTAGGGCTGTCCTTGGTTAGAGCAAAATGTTGAAAGATTCTCCCTTTAGTGTTTGTAGGGACACTGTGCAGTCAGAGATCCTACAGCACATAAAAACAGGTGGTCCTCAGAAGCCTTATTTTCAATGTTCTTGGATTGGGACCCTTTCAAAAATGCAAAAAACAAAACCCATTATGTTGAGTATGCTTTCCTAGTGTCTGTGACATATACTTAGCTTGTATTTTGTTTCTTTCCCCCCACAGGGCCAGGTCATCCAGTTCTAGATATTCATCTTTGTTCTTTGCTATGCAAATGCATTAAAATACTGTCGGAACACCCACTTATTGGAGAGTCGTGTTTGTGATTGCCATTGGGCTCATCTGACATGGGTAAAAGATTGCCCTTCAAACGTGTCTTGGTCTCCAAAGCAAACAACCACCCCGTTGACAAACAGCTCCAGATGAACGCTTGAGTGTGGTATGGACTTCCTGCTAAAAGGAGGTCAGACAGTAGCTTCTTCTTTTATTTACACGCATGTTCATTAAATGCAAGGAATGAATGAATGAATCTCAGTTGAAGTGAATCTTTAGTGTCAAGAAATCCTACTTAATATTTGGTATCCTGTTTTCTGGTAGTGCCTCAAAACAAGTGACTTGTTTCATCTCAGTTTATTTTCATCTAATCAACAGGAACCACTGGCTTACCCCAACTTGCGAACTCTGCTGAGTTGGTCACGTGAACATGTTTGCTCCTTTAGACCCGTATTCTGTTCGGTATTTACATGTGCAGAACTCCGGCTCAAGCTGTGGTGGTGATTTGACTGGATGCACACAATCAGCACTTTAAAGACTGCTCCAACAGCTTTCATAGTTGGGAGTTCCTTCCACACGTAAATACTTAACAAAGTCCTGGTCTTGGTGTTCTTTGCCAGCAATGTACATAGTTGGATAATGTTATGGAGGAAATGCAACAACTTGAGACATTTAGGGGGCCAAAGTCCTGGTCTTGGTGTTCTTTGCCAGAAATGTACATAGTTGGATGTTATGGAGAAAATGCAACAACTTGAGACATTTAGGGGGTATTTATCCTTTTGGTAGTGAGTGTGTACAAAAATCAGGTGTGCCTTTCAAGAAATAGCCTTTTATACAATAGTGTTTAAAACTATAGACAATGGTACAGTCTGGATGGGCTCTAAACTCAGAGCCTCATAATTGTCACATACACTCGGTGTGAGAATTTCCCCCTCTGTGGCAGATAGCAGGTTTGGGGGATTAAACCCCTTCCAAGTCCTGCACAAGAAGAGCATCTGTCTACGTTCTATTTTATTTTAAACAGTTGTCCATCAGAACACTTGTTTTAGCCTTTAAGCTGTCAGACATAAGAGACTGATAGGTATACTTAATCCTGTTTCAGGTGTGTGGAAAGTTTATGGTAACTGTCCAGCCCAAATATTAATTAGATGATAATCCAGTTTGAAATAATCCAATATGTTTTTTCCTTCAGACTGGTGGGAGGAACCAACCGTACAAAATCCTTCAGGATTATGGTTAGTCTTGTTTTGAGATTTCCCTGGGCTTTGCTTTAACTGAAGGGTGTCTTTTTTTAACAAGACGGTTTACAGAATAGTTGCATCCTGTAGTAAAATATATGGATTTAATTTGTATCTGGCTCTGGTATCTCAAGCCAGAAGCCGAAGAGATGGGTCTCCAGAGGAGGTTTTGAGGGGTACCTCTGTCTGTTTCTCTAACAGAGCTACAGTCACGTTGTACTCTTCCCTCAAGGAGGTAGCAGCAGAAGGCAAAAGGTTTGGCAAGACTGATTGCGTCACAGTTGATTATCTCCGGCTTCTCCTCCAGAAAGGCAGGGGATGACTTTTGTGATCAGGCCATCCTTCAGTAACTGGTCCTGATGATCACTGTTATACGAAGGCAAGGAGCTCCTTCCAGTAACGCTTCTCAATATTTAGGAAGGCCACGGGAAAAGAGTCTCCTCTGTTACAAAACATCCAGGGAGTGGCCATTGCTGTGGTCTGTCAGTAGTCTCTCCTTAATCACCACCGTCTTCAGCAGCACAGTGCCTGTTGGATTCACCACCACCTTCAAGAATGAAACCCAGTTGTGTAACCCCAAATCCTTGCTGGCAGGAAGGATCCGCTGGATGGAACACATGGGGTTGCAAGCCAAGCCGTTACCAAGGATGGCAGTAGAAAAGGCAAACGCCTGGGGCCCACCCATCTCCTGCCGATTTATCACAGCAATGGCAAAGGCTCCGTCCGAGAGAGGCCGCTCCCACAATTCAAAGTTGCTGTCCTGGGGAAATCGGATGGCACATGAATTAGAGCAATAGATATTTCAGACTTTTTATAACCTGTTTTCCCACTAACATACAAATCTGCTTACAACCTAAGAACGAATGGCCATGAGAACAATCAATAACGAACATCCTATTAAACTTTTATCGAGATGGTGAAAGCCATAAAAACCTCAGCTGAAACAACAAAAAGCCTCTGTCAATAACCTGTCTTATGAAATATTAAAATGAGCAGTGACTTCCACCTGCTGGAGAAATATGTACTGTACCACAAATAGCCTTTTCTTCATTCATTATCCATTTAACTTCAACTGTCAGACAGGGGTCTGTGGAAGTGATTTAGTTTTCAGCAGGATCATATAGATAAGCAATCCTTTAAAGCTTTAAATGGCTTAAAATCTGTTTATGTAAAGGTTCAGACTGTCACTCTGAATAGAATCTGAAAATGGACTGGAAATTCAATGCCCCTCTTAAACAGATGTTTTACAATGAAGCCTCGAGTCCAAACTCGTGATTTTTTTTGTACCCATTGAACTTGCTCTACCAACATAATACAGTACGGATGCTTTCCTTTACATCTGTGGATCACCCTCAATATTCCAATAATGTACTGTAAATGTACCAGCTTACTCAGGGCATAGTTCAAAAGCTGCTGTTCTAATTCTTAAAACTATTCTAGCTCCCACGTTGCTTTATACCTTACTGCAAATTGCAGGGCAAAATAATTAGAGTCAAAGGGTAAAATTCTCTTGTGCATCCATGCAAAAGACAAACCTTGGAGAGGCAAACAGTCTCCAATTAAGAAATTATCACCGCCATTTATCAGTTGTGCGCTGAGCTACAGAACTTGGTGTGCAACTGATACTACCTGAAGGCAAACCGTCTCCGAAAGTTACACTGTTCATGTTAACTCCAGTTTAACGACACAAGAGGATTTAGGCCAGACTGTTTTAGGTACATTACAAGTAACTTAAAACACAGAATTCTAGCTCCTGTCTTCTGAAGATGCTGGCCACAGAGACTGGCAAAATGTTAGGAAGTTAAGTGTTACCATCATGTAGTCAAAGCAGGAAAGCTTGCTCTGGAGCTGCATGTACAATAGGACCACCATATCCTCAAGAAATAGGTCCCAAGCCCCCTCCCCATAGATGCTGAAAAAGATGGAAGTGCACTGGACACTATACATTGCATAGCCCCAGGCTCCCTCTAATAGCCAGTTCTGGTAAATACAACTTGTAAATACATATTTCTGGGGGAGGTTCATATTTTCAGGCAGCAAATAAATGAATCAGCAGATACTGATCCTACAGATAAGGGAATCCTACTGTATTTCAAAAAGACGGCCAGAATCCTGTTTCCAGTTTCCACTTCCATAAAGGGAAATCATATTGGTGTTGGTGGTTGGATACCCAGAAACCCATCCAACACACTGACCAGCTGCAGTTTCCCTTATACAGTGGGGTCTTGACTTGAGAACTTAATCCGTATTGGAAGGCGGTTCTCAAGTCAAAAAGTCTGTAAATCAAGTCTCCATTGACCTACAGTGCATTGAAAACCGATTAATCCCGTAACAGGCCGTTTTTGTTCCATTTTGGTTTGTTTGTTTTTTCTGGTCTGTAAGTCAAATCTCAGTCTGCAAGTCAAACCTAAATTTTGGGGCCAGAGAAGTCTGTAACTCAAAAGGTCTGTAAGTCAAGCCGTCTGTAAGTCAAGGGTCCACTGTACAAGCATCCACTGGCAATAGTATTCTGGCCAAGGAATCGAATTTAAAACCACTCCACATCTAAAAGTATATAAAAAAATATGACTTGCTTAAAACAGCCATCCAGTAAGTTCATTTCTGAGATAGTGCTGACAGGAAGTCTCCCTGTAAGGAGCAATTCTGACTTACTAAGATGTTTCAGCTGAGAAACTGATCGGAATGACTCTTTTAACTAGGAAGCTAGCTTCATTCTGATGTATTGTTTGAAACAGGTTATTGGTCCACACCCCAAAAAAACAGTTTTACCTTCGTAATTCGATACCCTTGCTTGCCCAGTGGATCCTGGTTGATGGCAATCACGTCTTTGTTCTGGAGCAGAGCCTTGGCCTGTGGGCTGATCCGGCGCAGGTCGTTGGACATGAGAAGCGGAGATGCCATGATGGCCCAGAGTGCCATCTGAGTTACCTGCTGATCCCAGCTCAGCCCAAAGTCTCCAATCACCAGCTGTGAGAAGGAGGAGGAGAAAATCACATGGGGGAAGAGTTAACTCAGGTGCTACCTTCGTAATTCGATACCCTTGCTTGCCCAGTGGATCCTGGTTGATGGCAATCACGTCTTTGTTCTGGAGCAGAGCCTTGGCCTGTGGGCTGATCCGGCGCAGGTCGTTGGACATGAGAAGCGGAGATGCCATGATGGCCCAGAGTGCCATCTGAGTTACCTGCTGATCCCAGCTCAGCCCAAAGTCTCCAATCACCAGCTGTGAGGAGGAGGAGAAAATCACAGGGGGGAAGGGTTAACTGGTCATACATACTCGGGTGCTCATGAAATGGAAGTATGCCAGGAGTTCACCCGCTACAACCTTCATACCTATTTCAGTCATTCATTCATTCATTCATTCATTCATTCATTCAATTTATATCCCACCCATTTAGACGACGTCTACTCTGGGCAGCTTACAATAGAAACAACAGAAAAAGCAATTAAAAGCTGCAATTTAAAACAACAATATCATTCAAGATGGAAAAGTAAAGATCAAAATGGAAAAGTAAAGACGGAAGAGTAAAAATAGAAAAGTAAAGATCAAGTAGTGACAGGAGGGAAGGCCTGCCTAAAGAGCCAGGTCTAAAGTTGGCTCCTAAAGCTGTGGAGAGCATCAGCTTAGCTTAGAAAAGGTCTCGGATTCAATTCCTGGCATTTCTAGTTAAAAGGGACGGAAGTGGATGATGGGAAGTTCTTACTCTTGAGATGCTATCATCCGTAACAGATAATGCATGGAAAAGTCTGAGCTGCTATGAAGCTGTATCCTGTATCTGTCCACTACACTCTTGTCAAGTGAGAGACAGAAAGGAGGCATAGAACGGCAAATGGCCTCACTAGCTATTTTAAAGCAGGCTTGCCCTCCCTCTTTTCCTTAAAAGCAATAATCTTTAAAAAATGAATTGCCCTGGAATGAGGCACTCAGCCTGGCCCCTTTGGGACGGAAGTGGATGATGGGAAGTTCTTACTCTTGAGATGCTATCATCCGTAACAGATAATGCATGGAAAAGTCTGAGCTGCTATGAAGCTGTATCCTGTATCTGTCCACTACACTCTTGTCAAGTGAGAGACAGAAAGGAGGCATAGAACGGCAAATGGCCTCACTAGCTATTTTAAAGCAGGCTTGCCCTTCCTCTTTTCCTTAAAAGCAGTAATCTTTAAAAATGAATTGCCCTGGAATGAGGCAGCCTGGCCTCTTTCTAAAAGCTTTACTTTTCAAATCAACCTAAATTATATTATTATTATTATTAAAAAGCTTTACTTTTCAAATCAACTAGTCAGAAACACACCAGTATGATTTCCTTGCACTTAATCATGTGTTCCAACCAGTCTCAATTTTTGTGTCTTTGAGGGTTGTCTCCTCTGCTTATGATGATGACAAACCTGTTTCTCAGTCTGCAAGGTCTTAAAGGCAAGAGAACAAGGCTAATGCTTATAAATGTGCAGAATGCAAACTCAATGTATTCCTCTAGAAACATCATCATTAGTCATTTTCCCACCAGTGAGGGTCAATGGCTCCCCCTTCCAACAACCCCCCACCCCCAAAACTGGCCAAGGTAAGAGTGACTGCCCTCGTCACCCACCAAGGATCACTGCAGAGTGCAGACTATAACACTGCCCGAGTGTGATTCCAGCGCTAACCACTACACCACACTCTTATTGCCAAAAAGGGAACCATTGAAAACAGGTATTGGAGCTTATAGAAAAGGCAGGGGAACATTTAGAAAGCACACAACGTTCTCAGGGACAAGGTATACTTGGGGGGGGCAGTTATCAGTGAGTGTGAACAGTTGTGACAGATCGGAGATGGAGTTCTTGTTAGCATCTGCTTCATGAAGGCCATATCTTTTTGGCAACTTTGCAAGCTGAGAAAGGAGCGGATGCAGAAGGTTCTCTCACCATGTCTGGGTCGTTCCAGCCTCCTGGCCCGGCGACGTCCACAATACTATCCTGGTTATAAGCAGTCCAGTCCAAGACATTTTTGATGCTGTTCCAAGCATCGTAGATGTCAGCATAATTCCTCCAGTAATTACAGTATTGTTTGATTTCTGTGTAGTTAGGCTTCCAAGGGAACAGTGGGAGATAAAAACCACAAGGATTTCCTTATTTTGTTATTTTGTTTAAGGCATCTATTCCTTCTTCATTTCCTCAAAAAGAGGAGGGCCAAAGGGCCATGCCTCCTTCCTCATAACACTTTGGCTTGGTCATTTCCCAGCTCCTGTAGAGTTTTCCCTCAGTTTTAAAACGTTGAAATGCCTTTCCTAAGAAAGCTAGCTGGGTGGAGTGCCTGGCCAGGCAGCCGGGGTCACACATTCCCCGCCCGGCCCCCCCCCAGTGCCTTGTAGAAGAGCAGCCACCCTGTATAGTCTCGGGTAACCTACACAACCCCAGAAGGAAAGGATAAACCTTTTCTGAGTACTGGAAATCATTTCCATGAATTGCAACCAAGAGCACATAATTTTTTTTCCAATACTTTTGTAAGACCCATCCACATGTTGGGTGCCCGGCTGCAGAATCAGAGGTTGGGTATTCGATTCCCCCCCTCGATGCCTCCTGGGAGAAGAGCCAGCCTGGGTGGCCTTGGGCCAGCTGCACAGTCCCCAGGATGCCTCCAGAAGGAGGGAATGGGAAACCACTTCCTAATACTCTGTTTCTAGACCTAGTCTGAAGAAAATGAACTGGTTTGATTTCATGGGATGAAAGTGAAAAACCTCCACAAATAGCTGCTACTTTTGCCTCTTCAAAACACTCCAGAAATTCAGAGGCTTACAATTTCAATTATGCAGGCTACACACTGCCCCCCTCTCCCCCAACAAAATAATAATAATAAAAAATAAATCAGCTCCCTGGAGTTCTGGAAAGTGCCATGCCTTAGCAAAGGGAATAAGGAGTTTCACAAAGTAACCTGCCTTACCTTCTGCAAGGGTCTTTGGTAAAGCGGCCACTCACACGAATAGATGATGCTTCTGCCCGTTTTATTCAAAGCCCAGGACATGGTCTTGTAACCTGGTGGCAAAGAGCAAAACCCACAGAAATATTTCAGAAAGAACGATCATTTCAGGATACACTCTTTTTCATAAGAAATCAACATTCTAAAGGCACACAGGTTCAGAGAAGTGACAGAGTCTCCCACAACCCGTTTAGAACAGGACAGGAACATGTGGCTCACTGAATGCTGGACTACAACTCCCATCTGCCCTCACTAGCATCGGCCGTGGAAAGGGATGATGGGACTTGCAGAGTGGGACCACTCCCAGCTTACAACATTTACTAGGAAAGCTAGGCTGTTTGGAGAAGAGACGGAAAGGTAAAAATGGTTCACCCATTAGCCCAGTCTGACCTCCCATTTCTGGACTAACCAGCTCAGCAAAGCTGCCCGGAATGAAACAAAGAATAAGTTCCACCTCAGGCTAATTCTTCCTTTAAATTCACAGAAAGCCTTCATTTGGAAAACATAAGCATTGCACACACACAGACCTTCTGCCAGCAGCTCCAGTGTGCCAAAGTTACAGCCGTCAAACTTCAGCAGATCCACCCCCCAGCCAGCAAAGGTTTCGGCATCCAGCTCATAGTAACCGTAACTGCCGGGAAAGCCAGCACATGTTTTGTTCCCGACATCTGCGTAGATGCCCAGCTTCAGCCCTTTAGAGTGGACCTGAGTCACAAGGGAAAGATGCAAAATCACAGGAGTGGAAAACACTGTATTTTTTTCTTTACCAAAGATCAAGTGAATTTGACCCACAGAGTTTCTAAGCAGAGAAGCAGACTAAGAAATGGCAGGCATTCTCTACAAAAAGGTACGGTGGCACGCTACAAAAGTGGTGAACATACATACATCCCTAACCACTGGACATGCTGGCTAGAACTGCCAGAGGCTGCAATCCCCCAACATCCCAAGTGCCCCTCACAGCCCAAATGTCAACGGCTGCTAGACAGAATACAGTGGTACCCTGCCTAACGATTACCCTGCTTGACGCTGAAATCGCTTTACAATGATTCAAAGGTTTTTTTGTTTGACGACGATCAAAAAGAGCTGATCATTGGGTTTTCAAAATGGCTCCCCGCTTTGCAAAATGGCTCCCTGTTGTGTTCAGGATATGACTATTAAAAACAGCTGATCGTCGGGGTTTCAAAATGGCTGCCCGCTGTGTTCAGGATGGATTCTTCACTTTACAGCAGTGGTCCCCAACCCTGGGCCTCCAGATGCTCTTGGACTTCAACTCCCAGAAATCCTGGCCAGCAGAGGTGGTGGTGAAGGCTTCTGGGAGTTGTGGTCCAAGAACATCTGGAGGCCCAAGGTTGGGGACCACTGCTTTACAGGCACCGGAAAATGGCTGCCCAATGGAGGATCTTCACTGGACGGTGAGGTATTTCCCCCATTGGCATGCACTGACTGGTTTTCAATGCATTTCAATGGGTTTTTTTTCGCTTAACGACGATTTCGCTCTAAATAGATTTCGCTGGAACAGATTATCATCGTCAAGCGGGGCACCACTGTAGTGAGGTCTCCCTCTTCAGTGGGCATTTTACTTTTAAACAACAGATACTGGGGGCAAGGAAGGGGAGATGAGCTGTTTCCATCTTGCTTTTGAGATTTCAAAAGCAGCTTGGGAACTAGATGCTGGATCCAATCAAAGTCCAGGCTGATCCAGAAGAGCAATTTTTAGCAGTTCTAGATAAACACACTGGGAGTGGAGGGTGCTTGTCTTTGCCACTTTCTACCAGAGCCAAAAAGAGTTACTTCTTTTGGAATAAATAAATTAACCCTTTAGCTCTGGTTGAAAGTGACAAAGATCGTACAGAGTCGGAGGTTGGCAGTTCGATTCCCCATTTGTGCCTCTTGGGAGAAGAGCCAGCCTGGGCGGCCTTGGGCCAGCTGCATAGTCCCAGGGCACCCCCTAAAGGAAGGGAATGGGAAACCATTTCTGAGCACCCTCTACCTGGAAAACTCTGAAAAGGGCTGCCATAAGTCAGAGCTTGACGGCTCATTTTTTTTGGTGCTCAGAACTCTGAAAAGGGCTGCTGTAAGTCAGAACTTGATGGCTCATTTTTTTGGTGCTCATCTCCCAGAATCCCCCAACCATGCTGCGTGGGAGGTGTCACCCAAAAAGAATAATTTTTCCACACTCTGCTTTTAACTCAGTCATTTTAAAGGCCAGCAGCTCAACACAGATGGAGACAAGCCAAGCTATGAAACTGCAGCTGGCCATGACCACTTTCTCACCTCCTTTAAAGAGGAAAAAGAGATGTGAACACAGCCTTTAATGCACGGTTAACTTTGTTGTCAGCTGCCTTGAGTTGGAAAAAAAAATCTCCAGGAAGAAAGGCAGCCACCATCCACACTCACATAGTCTGCCAATTTGCCGATCCCACTAGGGAAACGTTTCGGGTCTGGCTGCAGCCTGCCTTGCCCGTCGCGGGTTGGAGCCATCCAGCAGTCGTCGATACACAGGTATTGGTACCCGACGTCTCTCCATCCCTCTGACACCATCAGATCAGCCATCTGCATAAACAGCTGCTCACTGCAGGAATGAGAACAGAAGGCCAGCATCTAAGAGGGGATGCAGAAGTCGGGGTGGGGGGGAAGGAAAGGAACTCCACACCAGATAGGGAAAAATTGGTTCACTTGAAATGTGGTGCTGGAGGAAGGCCTGGATGGCCAGAAAGACAAACAAGTAGGTCCTAGATCAAATCAAGAGTTAACTATCTCTGAAGGCAATAACGCTGAAACTGAGGCTGGCACATCAGGAGAAGGCAGGATTCTCTTGGGAGGGAATAATAATGCTGGGGAAAATGGGAGGCAGCAGGAAAAGAGGAAGATCACACACAAGATGGATGGACTCCCTAAAGGAATCCACAGGCTTGAGTCTGAAAGCTGAGCGAAGCCCCCGAGGACAGGGCATTTTAAAGATCTCTCATTCATAGGGTCACCGTAAATTGGAGGCGACTTGTCTGCACATAACAACAACACACCGTTATCGTAGTGGTTGACTACTGTATGTTTATTCTGAGTGGGAGCTGCTCTCTAGGGTATGAGAGAAAGCCATTTTTCCTTACCTGCTAACCTCATTCTATTAACCAGAAACCCCACATGTTGAACCTGGAGCGTTTCACGTGGAAAACGGGTGCCCCTACTTCTGTCTTATGATCCCTGCACAGAGTTAGAGGGTCGGCAAAGGGGTCTGTACTTGGAGACTGAATCAGCACATAGAGGTCAAGACCCTTAGACCAAGTGCTTTATGTTTGACTGTCTCTGTAGTTGCAAGAGCCAACGTTATTCAAAACACATCTACTGTATCTGGATTCTAGATCCAACTGTCTTGTTCATCAGACAGCCGATGCAGTTTAATTGCAAGATTGCTGGATTATCAGCTGAGAGATCCAGATTCAAATCCCCTCAACTCTGCAGATGGTCTTGAGCCAGCCAACCCCTCTCAAACCGACCACTGGCAATCCCAACCCCCTTCCTCAGAAGAACTATATACCGTAGGACCTCCGTATCCGCTGGGGATGGGTTCCAATCACCCTGCATATAATAAAGACCACGGATAATAGCAAACGCTGTATATATAATAGTAAAAGGGAAAAATAGTTTTTCTGGAATTTTTTTCTTTTCATATTTGTAATATTTTCAGTCTGTTGATAAGCGAATCTGTGGATATTGATCCCGTGGATAAGGGGGGTCCTACTGTAAAATACCTCTACTTCTGCAGCAAGCATTCTGTGGCTAGAAACGCCCACCCCGCCTCCAAGCTGGAAGTTTGTTCCTGTTTCTGTAAAAAGATCACCACCCACACGGCTGGGAGAAAATAAATAACAGGTGACAAAGCCAAGATTAGCCTGAAACCTCTTAGGTTGCAGTACAGGTCCTCTGTGGATTCGGAGCAATTCTGCTTTCGGACTACAACTCCCAGCCCAGGGCCACCCTCCTAGAGGGCAGGATTTGTAGTTCCTATTCTAAATTCTGGCTGGCACTTTTTAGGACTAGTCCTGCCTTTCCGTGCCCCCTTGCAGATCTACCCTCCACTTTTGGGTTGGCACCCGACCGCCTTCAGTTCCTATTCTAAATTCTGGCTGGCACTTGTTAGGACTACTCCTGCTTTTCCGTGCCCCCTTGCAGATCTCCCCTTCGTTTCTGTGTTGGCGTCCAGTCCTTGCGACCACCTTTAGCTCTGGGTCAGACCCGGCTTTCCTTGGCAGACTCTGGGGCCAAGCTGTCCAATATCGGGGGCCACAAAGGATCTCTTACCGTCCCCCCCCCAATGAAACCCTTGGCAGCTTTTGTCTTGGCAGGGAAACCCCTCGGCCCTCTTCTCTCTTCCTTCGAGCGCCCCGGCCACTCTTCCCATTCTGAGGCTAAGGAAGGAGCTGGGGGATGAAGGAGGGCTAATCCCAGGGCCAGGAGGGACCCTCTGGGCCAGTGGCCCCCAACCTTGGGCCTCCAGATGTTCATGGACTACAACTCCCAGAAGCCTTCACCCCACCTCTGCTGGCCAGGATTTCTGGGAGTTGAAGTCCATGAACATCTGGAGGCCCAAGGTTGGGGGCCACTGGCCCAGAGGGTCCCTCCTGGCCCTGGGATTAGCCCTCCATCATCCCCCAGCTCCTTCCTTAGCCTCAGAATGGGAAGAGTGGCCGGGGCGCTTGAAGGAAGAGAGAAGAGGGCCGAGGTGTTTCCCTGCCAAGACAAAAGCTGCCAAGGGTGTCATGGGGGGGACGGTAAGAGATCCTTTGTGGCCCCCGATATTGGACAGCTTGGCCCCAGAGTCTGCCAAGGAAAGCCGGGTCTGACCCAGAGCTGAAGGCGGTCGGGTGCCAACCCAAAAGTGGAGGGTAGATCTGCAAGGGGGCACGGAAAGGCAGGACTAGTCCTAAAAAGTGCCAGCCAGAATTTAGAATAGGAACTACAAATCCTGCCCTCTAGGAGGGTGGCCCTGGGCTGGGAGTTGTAGTCCGAAAGCAGAATTGCTCCGAATCCACAGAGGACCTGTACTGCAACCTAAGAGGTTTCAGGCTAATCTTGGCTTTGTCACCTGTTATTTATTTTCTCCCAGCCGTGTGGGTGGTGATCTTTTTACAGAAACAGGAACAAACTTCCAGCTTGGAGGCGGGGTGGGCGTTTCTAGCCACAGAATGCTTGCTGCAGAAGTAGAGGTATTTTACATTAGGACCCCCTTATCCATGGGATCCGCTCCCCTTCTAGCCTATGGCGGCCCAGCCGCTCCGCGCTCAGCCAATCGCATGACCGCGAGAGGGCCCCGCCCGCGAGAGAGTATCCAATCCCATTGTCTAGAAGCGCGTGGAGGGCGGGCGCTCCGAAGACCAGCGAAGGGGGCAATAAAACAGGAACCGGTTCCCTTCGCGCAGCAGGTGAAGGAAACTGGGTCACGTGACAGGGCTGGGGAGGGACGCGGTTGAGCCTTCCGGAGTCGCAGCCCAGCTGTAATAAAAAGATATATATACGTGTCCAATCTTCGTTTGTCAGGTTTTTGGCCAGCAACAGACATTATCCTCAGTTTTATCGTCAAAAGAATAATAAAAGTATATCAAAATTATTACCAACACAACAATATCACGACTACTAACAATGTCCTGTGTTTCACATTTGTATTAGCAACTTCTTTTTCTTTTTAAACTGAAGTACAAGGCAGACTTGCGTTGTGGGACTTGGGCGATTCCAATTCCTGTCCCTCCCTGAGCCCTGAAATTCTCTAAGGAAGAAATGTGATACTGATACAACACCTGTGAGCTCTGCTAGATCATGTTTCTTTCTGGAGGGCTGAGATGCTTGCTAGATGATCAGGACATCCTGAAAGCAACCGCTTTTCTGTTTTTTGTCCCGAGCGTTTGGTAAGTCTCTAAATCTAGAAACTCCATCTAGTTGCTGTGGTCCTCTACAACCATTCCTAGGTGGCTGGCCAACCCTGCTGGATTCTCCACTGCCATTTGTAGAAGAAGAGACAGCCTGGATAAATGTATTCTCAAAGGCTTTAATGATCGGGATCTGGTGGTTTTTGTGGGTTTTTC